GAAAGAAACCATCATGAGAGATCCAGTGTGTTGTTTCAAAATGCTTATATCAGTGGTGGTTTTGGAACACCATTTAACATAGCACTTTTTTTTTTTTTTTTTTCCCAAATAAATGGAGTTCCGGAAGGAAAATTCTGTTCATTCTGGCTTTAAATCATATGGTTTCTCACCAGCTCCTGCCTCCATGCAGCTGCTTTAACTGTGATTCAGCTATTTTGGAAGAGCTGTACTTGAGTATTGAGGGTAAAAATTGTAGCTTACCTAAAAGTCACTCAAAACTCTCTGTGTTGTTAATGAGTTTTCACATCATTAATTAAGAAATAAAATCAGTCTGTTTCAGGTTTGCATGTATATAATCTCAGTGTTTATTGCCAGTACCCTTAAGTAAAGCCATCTGCAGGGCAGAACTAAAAAAAAAAATATTTAAAGCCTCATTTAATATTCATGTGGCTTTAATTTCAGCCTTGTTTTCCACTAATAAACAAAAAACAGTTGCTACTAAAATAAACAAAATAAATATCATATGTTCTCCTTTGCATTTGCAAAACCTAGAGCTTCCTGGGCACTTATTAATTAGTCTGTATTTACCAGGGAGAGCATTTATGGCTAAGCACTGTCACTAGTCCTGTGTGTTGGGAACAGAAAATCAAAGAAAATGTCTCAAGGTGAGTGAAACTGAAATCCAGTTTATAAGAGCTATTTGAGAGCAGGCAAATCAGTGATTCCACCTCTTTATCCTTAAGGGCTTCAAATGCACCAGTCAGCGAACACAGACCATCAGTGGAGCAGCCAAATAGTACCAGCAGCAAATGCAATCTTGGGCACTGTGTGCAGCCCGTTTATCTGGGGTGCTAAGTGTGACTTTGACTCTTTTGTAACTGTGGACTAATGGAATTGTTCCCAAACTAAAGTCAGCTTAGCTACCTCTAATAGTAATAGCAAAAATGATGATTGTAATGCTTCTTGGAAGTCTTCTGCAGCTTAGTTTCTGAACAGCTTCCTAAATAGCTAGTGACTGAATTGATTTGGGGTATTCCTACACAAGCATTTCTCATTGAAGCCATTGCAGAGTGGTTATTTACTGGTTGCAAAAGTCCTAGGATCCTTATGATATCATTCTTGAACAGGGAGGCATTATTAGCTCTCAGTATTAATACAAAGAACTGAAGCATAAAGAAGGAAAGAGATAGGCCTGTCGTTACATGGAGAAGGCATGGCTGAGGCAGCCCACAGTCAGTGCCTAGGTAAATAATGAACTTCCTTTTTTAGGTTTTGCTATTTTGTATGTACAATAGGATAGGTCTCTTATTAGACAGCAAGAAATGAAGGAAAGCATCCATCCATGCCTTGAATGAGCAGTCCCCAGTAAGATGTTCCTTAGACAGTGTGCTATTACTGGTTTCCAACCTTTGCATCTCAAGGTACTAAGGAAAAAAATGTTCCTGGAAAAGCCACATTTCTGCATTTCTGCAGACGCGTTGCTTGTCTTGGATTCACTCCTTGCATCAGATATGAGGACTTTTCTTTCTTCTCAACTCATGCTCATCTATCAGGATTTTTTAAAGACAGTTGCAAATTTATAAGGCAGATTGGCTAGGACAGATGTGAAATCAAAGAGACATACAGCCATAAAAGAAGCAGGATGGCTTCCCAAAATATTTCTAGGCTGGCCTCGTTGGCAGTCAGGTTGCAACTGGGCTGCAGTTAATTATCTTTTACACAGAGCTGAAAGTTGCTCTTCACATGGACTAGAAGTCTCGTTTCTTGTATTATGAAGATTCCAAAGTCCTTTCTAAAGGACTAAAATCATATCTATTTCTAATATCTTGTCTACTGTGAAAAGTGAATAGATTTTTAGTCAGTATACCAGCATAATACAGAGAGATTATTCCAGCAGTCATCAGTTGTAGGACATCCCCAGGTGGAAAATGCATGTAGGGCTGTGTATTTAATAGACTCTGACAGATGTGGAATACAAAATTTCAAGCATTACCCAGGTTTTTTTCCAGTTCATTTATTCTCTGTAACAACCCTGTTGCTTGCCACCAGTCTTTCCATATATGCAAGGAAGGGATCTAAATGCTGGTAGGAGATTGGAAGTGTTTATTGCAAAAAATAAAAAAAATAAAGAATCCATAGGTAACTGTCAAAATAGAGAACAGGGTTATTGGCAGGATTGTTGGTCAGTTAATTTTTGACTTGTTTTAGGGTGAGTCTTGAAATGAGGCAGCAATTATATATTTCAAGTTAGGAAATACGTTTCAGAGATTATGGTCAACTGTGAAGACAACTGTCAAACAATTGGACAAATGACATATTGAAGTTAGAGATTTCCAAAAAAAAAAAAAAAAAAGGTTGACTAGGAAGAAGAAGAAATACTGAACAAGTTGGTAAAGTCTGTATTTTTGCAGGGTTTTTTTTCTTATTATTTTTATTATGAATAGGTGTAAACTCTAATCCCAGATTTAGGCAGACATTTATTTTTGTTCAGATTCACTTGCAGACTCATAGTTTAAAAATGCACTGCACAGTCCTCCTATTAACTGTTCCTTAGTGTGTATTATTCCATTTCACCTGTGCAGTGCCTATGGGAATATCAGGGCTGTGATATTTTTTACCTGGGGTAGTCTGACAGGGATTTTTAGTTTTAAATACTGGTTATGCTTCATATCCAGATAGAAAACATTAACGCATTCATCTTTGACTAATTGGATCAAATGATGGTGTAAACCCAAAAGGAATAATTTGCTTGAAATTGACACTGATTTGGCAGAAATACATTCATTTTTTTTGTGGATGCTTTAGCATTGCAGATGAAGAGAAGGATGTGCAAATAAAGAGATCTGTTTTGCCATCTGTAGTTTAAGTTCTTCCTGCCAATGCCACATGTAGCTTAAAGATGTTTATTAACTGATCAAGCAGTTTTGCACAGACCTATTACATTTGAGATATTATTATGAAAAAAAAAGAAAAAGTATTAATTAATCATTTGGCATGTTTCAAAATACTAGAAAAATGATAATCCCTTTGTCTGTCAGAAAAAAAAAAATTACATGTTCACCGATTACTCTTGTCAGCTTAATAGAAAATCATGATCTATCTAAAGAAAGAAAATTGTTAGGATTTCTGTCTTCCTTTACTGGTGGGATTAGCATCCTTTTATTTTGAGTGCTGTAGATACTCCTTGCAAAAAACCCACTCGATGTTATATATCTCTCAAAACCTTCTTTCAAGGCTTAAGGGTACTTCTGAAAACAGCTTGCTGGAAATTTCCCAGTGAAACTGTTCTTGATACAAAGCTATTTTTGACTGATATTTTTTTTCTTGAAAATGTCTGCTTTCCGTGGAAAATTCTGGTTGCTCCTCAAATGTTTCAGCTGAAATTTATGTCAGTCGTGTAGTTTTGTAGCCAAAACTTGAGAACTTATGTGAGGAAAATATCAAACCAGCGGTAGCAGTGAGCACACAGGGGAACTGCACACCTTTCCTGAGGTGAGATGATGCTTTGGTAGAAAATAAGTCCCTTTGCTACTAGGCTTATAGAGAAAGCCTGGTTTAAGCAGAGCAATCTGTGACCTTTTTTTTTTTTCCTTTTTTTTTTTTGGTATCTAAAATAAAGTTGCCCTGTTTGTTGCTGTTTGCTTAGTTTGTGCCAGTCAGTTGAAGTAGAGGTAGTGTGCTTGCAGTAATTGTGTCTGGTATCCATCAGTATGTTTTATGGCAGGGAATGGCTTGGGTTATCAGATCATTGTTTTTAGGATGTTCTTTTCTGTGGTGCTTCCAGTTTACTCCATGTCTCTTCTGAAGAGCTCTGCCTTTCCAACATAACCACTGTGGATGTCTTCCTTCTGGGCAAGAGGAAACTATTGGAAGTCCTTTCTTATTCTATATTTTTCTTTGCTTGATAACTGATAGTTGTTAGCTGGAGCACTGCCTGTCCGTGAGCTGAAAAATATCTCCAAATTTCTCAGTATTAGGACACTGCAGAGGAAAAAATAATGAATGTGACTTGACATAGGACTGCTAACTACAACAGACTTAAATAACAAATGAGGATATCATAAAAAAAATCAATACTCAGGAACATATAGAGATAGAAAAGATGTATTGGGTCATATTCTGCATCTCCTGCTAGAGTACAATTGTTCACTGCGGTATGTCTTTTATTCAGTGTAGATTTAAATTATTCAAGCAAAGGAAATACTTCTACTTCCTTTGGGAGTGTTTGCCACAGACTGCAGATCTCGCTGTCAAGGGATGTTTCCAGGTGTTTAACCTAATGTATGCCCGTTTTCCAGCCGTTAGTGCTGTTCCCTCTCTGAACTTTATGCCTCTCAGAAGAACTGTGTTTTTTTCAGTATTGTCTGCTCCTTACACAAACAAATCTGTGGGAATGAACGAAAAATGCTAAGGCAGGTGATGTGACACCCTAGTAACGTTTGCTGGAAGGCTATACACAGCCACACTGCTTCCAAACCAAGTCCTTCACTTGGTGTTGTGAAGTGTGCACTTATGAAAGTGGGATGTGCTGAACCAGAGTGTGACAAGGCAAACCTTCTATCCAAGTTCTCGAGAAAGTTTTGAGAGACCAACATCTCTGGGAAATTCATGTCTTCATTTTCTGTAAGAATTCACATTTGGATGAACACCTCTTTGTGGGTCTTCAAACTAAGTCATTTAAAAATAGCTGCTCTCACTTCCCAGAACATCACCCATCTATTCATTGTCATATCCTAAGTCTGTGGCAGGCCAATCTCAGCATATTGATGTGTGCTGGTTTCATTGCACCTGAAAATGGTATTACGTTGTTTTCAGTTAAATAAATACGTTGTGTTGAAAGCATGCAAATAACAACAGCATACTCAGAAGGTGCAAAATGATTTTCTTTCCTTGAAACCTTACCTTAAAGATGACCTCATTTCCCATAGACCCTTTCACTGTCTTTAAGAACCAGCCACTTCTTTCACTCCACCGCATCACAGAATTTTCCTCTGCCTTAGAGTCTTGCTGCCAGATGAGGACGCTGGACAGTGGGATTGGAACCTTCCCACTCCCCGACTCAGGGAACCGATCTGCGGGGCGACACGTGTCTAAGCAGGAATCGACCTTGGAAACAGAAGCCCTCGCACCGTCTGAGCAAATTCTTCTTTCAGCTCCTTCAGTAAAAGCCAAAACTCTTGAGCGAGAAGTGCCTTCAACAGCTATGAGTCAGGAGTCGGTGGAAAGCATAATTAGTCACTCAACATCTGATCCAGCCATGACTGCCAAAGGTATACGACCTTTTCAAAGTCGCCTTCCAAAACCAGATTCCTCAGGTAAAATGTCAATTACACTGAAAATCACATTATTTCTGTCCCGATGTCTGTGTGGATAAGCAGAAGTGCTATAATAATGACGATCGATAACAGAAATGTTAAATGCAGAGCAGAAAATATTGCTTTTAGGAATGTGTGAGGTTAACAAGTTTGTGACCTGAGCCATATGGAAATTTTGTTACACACAATGCTTATCTGTAACCAAGGAAGAAAAATGTGTTAAGTACTTAAATCGTTTTCTCAAGAAACAGTACTTGAAAAAAACATATGCCAGCCTTGGAATTTGAACTGAATAAGAATACAGATGTTCAGTAGTATTCAGGATCAGACTTTATAGGAAAGTACAAAGAATAGCTATGTTGTAACTCAGAAAAGACATATCCACAAAGACTTGCTTTTGAAGCTATATTGAGACAAAATATTCATTTGGCCTCAATGCATAAATTCTGAATATATGGCCTGGGCCTCAAAGGAACTCTTATTATTTTTTTACTACGTGATACAAATATATTTATTTATATGAGCGTAAAGTACCTCACCTTAACTTGTCTACCAAGTATGTGTTTACTATGGACTATAAAAGGAAGGCTGACAAAGCAATGAACAGACTTACAGTCCAGCAAACCACCAACACATAACTTTATATTAGTACAAAGTTGCATTGAACTCAGTGTAATCCCTTACAAATGTGCACTGACCATTTTTTTTAATATATTGAAGGCCTCTGAGTTACTAATATATATGCCAATCATTACACATAGCATTTATTTTGTAATACATTTTTCATAGTCAGTGCAATTGACATGGGAAAAAAAACCACTAATAGTAATTGACTTCATGGAGAAGAGTGTGTTTTGTGTTGTTTTGTTGTTAACTTGATCAAATGCAGTGTCATTGGTGTTATGCTTGTTAGCACTGTGTCAAGAAATATATTTGCCCCTGTAAAACTTGTGAGCGCTTAACTTCCATGAGTCCATATTGTATCTATAAGTGAGATTCCATATAATTAACATGGAAGGTTAAATATGAAGTTTAAACTTACTTTAAGTCCATCAAATATGTGTTCTGCTAATGAGCTGATGAAGATTGAGCCTAGGAGGAAAGAAGCCTCTTTTATATGTTCATCAGATGCATAACAGAAGAATTCTAATTAAACGTCTTAGAACTAGTTGATGAAGCAATATTCCCAGTGTGGTGTTGTAATGGTATAATAGACTGCAAACACACATTGTATGCTTCGTTGCAGTCTGCTCTGCTCATTTCAAATCAAAGCTAAATAAAAGATATTTTAGTACTTAGTATATTTTAAATAAGTGTACTGTTAATTAATGGCACAGCTAAGAAGGATTCTGAAAAGAAATCTTAGTTATAGATTATATGCTACATGCTTGAATAGCCACATGTGTGACCTCAATTCAGCAATGTGCTATAGAGTAGACTCCATGATTAAACACTGTCATTATAACAAATTGAATAGAAACTGCAACCACTGAATTGCTTCATAAGAAGTCAGTTGCAGTAAGATTGTTCTGATCCTAATGTTAATATTCACTGCACCAAACTTGTAAGGTTTGTATCTTAATTAAATTGTCATGAAGAGATGTTAAAAAAGTAGTATACATGAGATGGTAGGGTCAACTCATTCTTTACCAGATTATTTTCAATTGATTCTTTTCCTCTCCCTTCTCTCTCTCTTCCTAGTTTCAATTATCACTTTATTTCATATGCACCGTATATCTTTTCTGATGTTCTGATTTTGCATAGTGCAAATATAGCAAATAAAAAGGCTAACTGACTGAGAGTTTCTGCTAGAAAGGTACTTCTAATTATATTTATGTTAACACCCTGTTCTCTCTCTGAGAACATAAAATAGCAAAGCAGAACATACAATGCCTGGAAGAAGTTATTGTGTATTGTTTCTTATTTGAAAGAGTATATATGTCAAAACTAATGGAGAGATTTCAATCTATGCCTTCCTCGCCTGTCGTTAAGTGGAAAAAGGCTTTGGATAATATTCTGTCTGCCACTGTAGTTTTTAGAGTTATTCCAGTAAGAAACTAAACATAATTTGAGTGTCATGATTAGCACTTGGTTTTTACTGAATTACAATTGAAGCACTCATGAAGATGGCGATGAGACCTACAGTTTAAATAATGCCTTTCTTAATTCAGGAATAATTAACCTTGCAAAGCAAAGTGAACAAGAACCAAGTTCTGTGACCTCTACCTCATTAGAGCTTACTGAAGAAACTGTAGAAAATAGAAAAGCTCTTTCAGATTGGACCACCAAGAAAACTACAAAAACAAAGGTATCAGTTAAGAAGTGTCATCTATTAAATGAGATATGTATTGTGGTGTAAAGAATCAGAAATGGTGAATGTTTTTAATACAGTGGAAAGAATAACTAACAATCTAATAGCTACATTTATTATTTTTTTGCCCTTCATTGGCAATCTCATTGTTTATTAATAATACAGCACTGAAAGGCACTTTGTCCTCATGCCCTACAAATTATGATTAATTATAATGCACAGGCATTTTATAGAAAAGGAAATTGATACCTTTTTACCATACTTTTCTCTTAGAGCAATTTGATCTTGTTTGTTTGTTTTCCTTTGGAAATGCAGATATGTTGTGTTCCTCCCCACCCCCAGGTCTGCTTTTCCCTGTCACTTGTGTAATGTAGTGTATGTGATCGAGCAGATGTGCTATGAAAGTACTGTGAAAGAGAAAGTATTCTCTTTTTATATGTTTCTGTGTGGTTATGGTTAATCTCTGCAGTGATCTGTCTGTCCTTCAGCGTTTTCATGAAAACTGCAGAAAGAACAAACAGGCAAATGTATATACCTGTGTAAAAGCTACAGCTGATGGTTGTTATTCATATTCAGAAATGCCAGGCTGTCAAGCCCTGTGAGAAGCACAGGGTCAGCAGGTTAGCAAATAGTAAGAAAAACTTACTCCAGATAGTGGGCATTAAGGCAAGGGAGCTGTCAGACTGCTGGCTAATAGGACTTACATTGTAAGAGACTGAAAATATTTGGTTGCTTGACTTTTGTTCATGTCCGCTTTTTCCATTTATTTATTTGGAGTAGCTCACATTTTTCTATAGTCCATGCTATGGATATTTAGGACAGAAACAGAAAGAAAAAATGGTTTGTCTTGTATATAATTGGCAAACTGGCAGTGAATCCTCTGTAGTGCAACACCTTTGGCTTCCAAGTCATGATGACATGAGTGTGATATTCACCTTAACTCAGGCACAACAGGTCACCCCCAGTCCCCAGACCAGGTTAATACGGTACATGTGTTACTGGTAATTGGTCTGTGTAGAGTCATGGGCTTGGTGTGTCTGCACCTGATGTGTGAATGTAGCTTTGGCACTGCAGCTAGCTTGGATTCTCCCTGTTTTATGAGCAGTATTGCGTATATTTGGCTGCATGCAGAATCCCTCAGGTCTGATGCTCACTCCACAAGTATGTGCTTCCTATCTAATGAATGTCCTTCAGCATCAGTTAGAGCTGCATTGTGTATGAGAAGATGGGGAAATTGATGTCACTCTTTGAAAAATACATTTTAAAACTCTCTTGAGTCTTGATTGTCAGTTGAGGTTACAAAAGTAGGTAGTATTTGATGATTACTTACTTGAAGGATAAGTGGCTAATTAAAATAGTAAAAGATGTTTTAACAGTTGAATTATCCATTGCATGAAGAATATAAAATGTTCCACTCACAATACCATCTTCTGCATTATTTTTGTATATTTGCATCATCTGAATGATCTCGATACCCTTATTTGTGCAGGACAGAGCTCTAAGAGTGTGCACTTACTCTGCCAGCAGCAGTGACACTGAACCAGAGCCAGAGTATGGAACAAATTATTTTCGAGCTGCAGAGGAGACGTTAGTGGAGTTAACAAAGAGCAACAAACAAGGTAATTGAAAATTTGTACATAAGGAATGTATATCTCCACTCTGACTCAGCAACAGATAATGTCCTTCGCTGGACTGTCTAGTTTTTGCTTTCTAACCCCAGATCTTACTTCAGTCTAATTTTCCAATAGCTTTTTATTGCTTTTTATTCTATCTGTGTATCTTTTTTCCTCCTCTCTTCTGCTATTTTTGCTACCAGGAGCTAGACTTCTAGGCTTTTATGCACAAATAACTGCACTGTAAGTAGAAAGTCTTCTGTTACATTATTACAAAATTTAAAAGGTGACTTTTAAGATTCTTTCCTCTTTTTACTTTTTAAACTTTATTAGCTGGTTATAGAACTCAACAATCAAGGCCATAGCGTTCCAACCTCTGTATCAAAGTGATGTTGGTTGTGATGCCACCGCAACCGTGCATATGCACAACTCCATATATATATTTTGCCATTTTCAAGTATCAAACCTTTCTGCAGCATCTGGTAGCAATTCGGAATTTACTGAATTCCAGTAGATGAAAGCACCTTCAGCAAAGCTCTCGAGGTAATAGTTTTCTGTGTGTTTAATAACTGCCTTGCCATGCCCACCAGCTCGCCATGCTGCAAGCCACCCTGCAGTGCAGCTGTGTTTCCCCTGGGAGGGAAGCAGAGCGTGGCTCATCTCCTTGCCCACACAGCCAGTGCCTTCCCTGCCACTGATAAATTCTGTCGAGTGCAAAGGCCAGTGCAAGGTCTCAGCATCACTGAGGCCCTAAGAGCTTAAGCAGTGCTTCAGTGATACAGAGGATTTGTGCTAACCCCCAGCACAGCAGTGAGCTTAACCTACCAGAGATTAGCACCTACAGTAGATATCTCGCTGATGATTGCATTAAAAGTGCCACGGACAGTGAGATGCTGTAGGCAGGCACACTGTGCTCTGTAGTGTCTGTTGGGAGCTAGGCTGAAACATTTGGCGTTTTCAGAGAGGATCCATTTTGTGTGATTACACCACGGGCAGAGCAGAGCAGGAAGCTCAAGCTGTTTACTTACATTACTCATGTAACTTTGTGGTTTTAATCTGTATGAAATGTTGCAAGTAGTTTACCTCAGCCAATAAACAGGTTTGCTTGCTACAGATTACATTCTCTGGTGGGTTTTGTTGTTGTTTTCTTGGGCTTTTTTTTCAAAGGGGAAGGTAAGGATTTCTTCCAGTATTGATCACAGTTTGCAAAAATAAGGATTTCAGCATGTGTAAGCAGTTGCATTAAATGACAGCAGTTTCCAAGTTTGGTGATACATAAACAGAACTTAAAATTGCCATTTTGCATAGCAAACCATTAATTTTTTGTATACGTGCCTAACCTTTGGGCTAGTAAAAGAACTGAAATTCATAATTGTGACTGAGGCAAATAGAAAACCAAATTACAAGCCATTATTGCAGAAGTATTTCTGCCATGGTCGTTCTTTTTAAACACGATTTCTGTCCTATAAATACAGTTCCCACATTCAGATTATTAACAGTACTCTATTCCATTCAGTGTTCAAAGATCCTAGCTTCTTTATGCATACAAGTGATATATCCTCAAAACATCCACATGAGGCTGAGGTGGGGGCAGTAGCAAACCGAGTCAAGAGAATATTTTTGTATGCATAGATAATTATATTTACTAGATGAGTCCTCAGAACATTAATGAATTTTCCCTTGTTGCAATATTCTAATGTTGGAGTGATTTTCATTTTCCATTTATGTGTGGGGAATGGGAAGACTGATAGACTGAGTGCCCAATGCAAAGACTGTTGAAAGCCAGTGATAACAGTTCCATTGATTTGGTGGGCTTTGGAGGAGACTCCCAGTGCATTGCCCAGTGTTACAGAGAAAGTTAGCAGAATAGCTTGGAATAAGTCAAAAGTTCCAGGTTCTTCCATTTCAACCATGAGAATGTTTTGATTCCAGTTTCATGGAGCTTTTGTTCTGATGTGATTCTATGGGAGGCACTGGAGGCAGAGACTCTTCTAATGCTATAGGTTACAAGATAAAATTGAAGTTTGTGTAACAAAAAGTGTGAGGAAAGAGTCTAATGATCATTTAAGCCTCTCTCCCCTGTGTTTTTTTTTGTGAAGCTGCAGAAAATTTCTTTGATTTTGATCTTAAGTATGAGTTTTGATCTTTGGGCTTTGGAAGCTGGGGTTGTACTCGTAATGTTCTTGTATTACAGTAGATATATAACAAATGAGTAGGGCCTGTTTCTTAACCTTGCTAGACTATGTTTTATACTGTTGTTTTCATTGGCTAAAAATGTAGTTACAATGAAAGAATTATTAGAAGTAGTCCAACTGAAAGACATTAAAAAGGAGCTTAGCATATCTACCATGTAAGGCTATAAAGAATGGAGAATGAAAACTTATAGCAGATAAATAAATGGAACAATTATTCTAAGTTAACCAACCTTTCTATATTAAAAGAAAAAACAAAAAGGAAATGTATTTTAGTCATCTCATGCCATCTCCTTCATCTGAGTGTTAGATATGAACAGTCCTTTCTATGTGTATTGATTAGCAGCTAGTATTCTATTTCTTTTATTACCATTGAATTCCAAATACCTTAAAATATTTTTTAAAAAATTAAAAAATGTAAAATTACATTACAGTTTATTTAGGCTGTATTTCATCAAGTAAATATGCCTTACTGACATTATTTTTTGTGTCTTTTACAGCTGAGCAGGAAAAACAGAAGCAGAGAAAGTCAGTTCTGGGGAACCCGATGTCAATCTTGGATTTATACCAGCACAGTCTCTATGGCCATTTTGGAGAGGATGGACCTGAACAATTAACACATTTCAGTTTAATTGAGCAGCTGAGTGGACCTTCCAGTAAAGACAGCAAAGGCAAAGAGAGCCCAACTGTGAGTTACTGTGATTTTTATATTACATCCCATTCTCTTCATGATTTTCACTTGCTTCTTCTTTCCTCCTTAACGTGTTGATTGATTACTGAAACGAGGCAGACAGGAAAGAACAGCATGACCTGCAGAAGAGTAAAGATCTAAATATATTTAGAATGGGATGTTACATTCTGATGCTTGTATGACAAGGTCTTCCAAAATTGAAAACTAGAGACAGGCTAGGGATAGCATTCCGCTATTAAAAGGAGTTGAAATTCAAGGCTAGCAAGAAAACACAGAAAGTATCTTTTAAGACCACTCTTTCGTATCAAGTTAGCTACTATGTGTGGCACAACAGACAGTAAACAAATGAATGACACACCTGATGTTGTTTCCTAAAAATCTGAATGAAAGCAGGCTATGGAAGTCAGCTATCTTCTGTTCTCTGATGAAATATGGTTGATAGGAGCTCTTGTACTCCTGGTTTGGGGGTTCTGAACATTATTTTTTTGGTGATCAGTCCAAATGGATCTTGATGCTAAACACAAACCTTTTTCTTTTCTCCCCGTATCTCATCTGACCCCACTTGTTATTTCTATCACTGGAAGTGCTAACCCTGACATCATGTAATCTCAAAATCTTTGAGAAGCACCTTCTCAGCCTGTTTTCTCACACTTCTTTCTCACTTGGTCTCTCCTTTGCTCTAACAAACCTATTTGTTTGAAAACAGAGCTACCCAGCCATGATCCACTGTTACCATTTTGCCTTCATGTTCAGTCTCTTTCCCCAGGTCCTTTTTCTTCTTTTTAAATACAAGCTCTTTTGTTTCCATGTAAGATACCCACATTTGGGGTATCTTACAGTATAAATAAAGGTGGTAGCAGAAAATAATGAAAGAGCTGCAGTTGTTAGCGTAACAATGCCATTCTTTAAGTTAAAAAATATATGTATCTTCCCAGACCCCATTTTTCAGCTTCAGAGAATGACTGTGCAATGTAACTTCAGAGGTGATTAACTCTAACCAAAGTTAGAGCCTTACAGCTTGCAGGAATCCAGGCCAAATGTGCAGAAGGAATGTGTGGCACAAACTGGCAATACCTCTGTTTATTCCAACTCTGCTGGCATAGAAGTCCCACTTAACTCAATATTAAATTGACTCACAAACTTCTGAAATGCATCAGCCTGATCAACCAGATTTCACTAGTCCTCACAATATGATTCAGTATGAATATATTTGAGTCATATTAGGAAGAATAATTGTAAAGAATCTGGTTTCCTAGTTGGGAAGAAGAAAAGGGGGGAGGGAGGGGAAAGGTAGAAGAATACTAAGGATAGATGAAGAAAAATAATAAGAGCACCCACCTGATTCTATGTCTTGAACGTTTAGAGATTCATAGCTTAGTTATGTAGGTAAGATTAATTGTGTGTGTGCTTGTGTGTGTGTGTAAGGCATTTCTGCCCTCTGAAGGCCAAAATCTTTTGTTATTAACAGAGCAATTAGATTTGGTCCAGTATAGAAAAGTTTATCAGATTTATGTCTGATTTTATTTCATGCTTATGCATTTCTTGTGCAGGACAAATCTCTACAATGTGCCCAGTCAGCACCAAAACTTAAGCAAAACTCATTAAAACAGCCTTAGGGTCGTAGCAAAAGTCCATCACAAAGGTAGAAGGCAACAGGTATAACTCAGCACGAGCATTTTTTCATGCATTGTAATGGGGGCCTTTTGAGAATACTTTAAAGGTCTGAACTAGTTCTCAAAACAGCATTGCCTCTCAGTGAACAGTGGAAGCTCAATAGAGCACTGGGGATTTGCCTATTAGTATTAAACTTTTCAGAATGACAAATGAGAAGCAGCGACCACGGAAAGCAGGTTGCCCCAAACTCCTTGTTTCAACCAGCATGGCAAATTTATCTCATCTGTAATTTGTCCAACCTGAGAAGATCCACAGATTGTTTCATTTAGAACTCCATGTTCTGGAACTTCTCCCACCAGAAGGGGGGACACCAGAAACTGTGGCATTTATAGCCAACAACTCTGGGGGGAAAAAAAAGAGAGAAGTTTTGAAGTGAGAAAAATATGCAGCTTTCATACCAAATATCTAGCATTTTGAACAAGGAAATGCTCTCTGCTTTGAATTTCCTTCCCAAATAGTGTTTGTTGAGCCTTAAAATAATAAAAAAACCCAACCGCACAAGTACCATGATGGACAGAATGAGTTTACTCTGGTTGTCGAAAGAGCAGTGTGCTGTATCAGTCCCTTATCCCAATTAAATTGGACTGTACAGCATCAGTAAGAGCGACTTCAGCCTGGGTGCTCTAATGAGGCGCTCTGGCAGGGGCTGTGCTTGCCCAGGCTGTCACTTGGGATGTCTCCTTCTCTCATTCACCAGTGTTACCTCCAAAGAATAGACACAAGTTTAATCAGCAGAAAGTACTGCACAGAAGGAGTTTCAGAGGGGAAATGATCTATGGACAGTTCCTATGGTAAAGAGATACTGAGTGGGCAGTTTGATGAATCACAAAGGCTTCCATACATTTGAAAGAAGTATTTATTGTTCCAGTTCCGTATCTGCGAAGTCTTGAAGAGCATTGTGGTTAAATTCCCTTGACTCTTCTCACGGCCAATTTGATGATACATTTATTTTGACCTGGGAAACATATTGTGAAACAATGTCATTCTTTTGTATACTGCAGTATTCTGGACAAGGAAAACAAATCACAGTTTCAAATACAAAACATGGTGAGTCATAGACACAAAACTTTCACTTAAATTGAGAGCCATCGTGCATTTTTCTCATGGAGGATTTTCAAAACCAGAAACAATCTTTTCTACATGTTAATAATTTAAGTGGTAGCTTTGGTGATTTAATAAAACGTATGCAGCACCTGATCCAAACTCCACAGCAGCCACCAGCTGGGAAAGACCAATTGGGTGAAACTTCAGTGGGACACAGCTGCTTCCCCTGCTTGCAGCAGTAACTGGTAATGCCTGCAGCAGTTTTCTGACTTCATGATTACTATTATATTTTCTCAATCAAAAAAACATTATTTCATATTTCAATTAACTTACTGTTTAGACTTTAAAACCTCAGGATGTTTTTCTTATAAGAATCCAGAAAGCAAGATGAATTTCCCTTGCCCAGGCCTATTGTTTATTAACTTATTTTATGATCAAATGAGAACCAATACAAGACTTTTTATTGTCTTCTTTGTTCCCTTGGAGAAATAGTGGAAATGGTCAAAGTGTTATTATTCAATCATCCTTATGATCCCAAAGCAACACAAATAATGGGTTTTCTTTTCTGTCCTTAACCAACCATTCTGTACTTCTTTTCTGTAATGTGAATCAGAATTACCGAATCATAGAATGGCCTGTGTTGGAAGGGACCTCGAGGATCATGAATCTCCAACCCCCCCCTGCCACATACAGGGCCACCAACCTCCTCATTTAATACTAGACCAGGCTGCCCAGGGCCCCATCCAATCTGGCCTCGAATACCTCCAGGGACGGGGCATCCACAGCCTCTCTGGGCAGTGAGTCCTTCAACTTAAAACCATTTCCCCTTGTCCTGCCATTACCTGCCCTTTCAGAGTTGACTCCCCTCCTGTTTTGTAGGCTCCCTTTAGCTACTGAAAGCTGCAGTGAGGTCAACCCACACCCTTCTCCAGGCTGAAGAAGCCCAGCTCCCTCAGCCTGCGGCTTGCTTATATTTCAGGGTATAACTTGATAACTTGATAAAGAAAACATCCTTTATGGAAGGGGCTGTGGTACCCATTCCATGTTTCTAAATCCTCTTGCTTTCCCTCTGTTATGACAACACGCATGAGAATTCTGACATTTCTATCACACCTGCTGTGTTAACTACATCAGCAACTGAACTAGCTGGCTCCAGTAGCTGAGGAGGTACAACATGAAGTTATGCTGTTACTCAACATGGCAGAGTTTGAATGCATTGTACAGATGACTGATGGAGATAAATGTTCAAATCAGCATGTCTTGCAAATCAGGTAGATATTAGAGCATGCTGGCCAATGCAAGAAAAGGAGAGATTGGAGAAATTCCTACTGTTTTGGCTGCACACACAATTGGGACTGATGTGGTGACATTCCCAGATAATAAACTTGAGGGTTTTTTACAGCTAAGTAGGCTGATTGGGAGTTAATGCTATATGGTTGTTTCATTGTGCTCACAAGCCTTCAAATGTATCATATTGAGAAAGTGGAATATCCACAAAAGGACTCATAACAATAATAAGGTTGTTTAGCAATTGCACACCACTTACCAGCCATCCTCTGTGGTCCCAGAGTGTTAAGTTGTGTTGGATGTATCCAGCATCCCTGAATTACAGCAGTTGGTAAAGCAGCCTGGACACCTCTGCTGGCTGCACTAAATATGAGTAAGGGGAAAACAAAAGCATGAGCTTCTTCTACTTGAGGCTTGTCTCCTGTGGAGATCAGTAAGTGGTGAGGTAGGGCTTGAATTGGCTGCACAGCGAACACACTTCACACTGTGCACCTATTTAGGCAGCCCTTGAAGAGCATGCCTGCAAAGCTTAGGTTTGGCTTAGGCATGATTTGGGTTCTCTGAATCATTTTTTGTAGTTGTTTTGTTCTGTCTTATTTGTGCTTCTATCTGGAGCCACTCTTAAAAGAGGCTCTCCATATTTAAATGTCCATGGTAATCTAAGGGATTCACTAGCCTTTTCCACATTACCAGATGTGCTTAGGGAAGGATTCTGCTTATCACATGAAAAAGACTGAGATAATGATTTGGGCCCAGTTGTTAACTGGAAAGAGCTGCATCCTAAGAGTTTCAAATGGGAAGGAGGTACAGCCCATGGAAGTATCTGTTTGCTTGCCTGCTTAGCTGTCTTACACCAGCTACCACACTTCTAACCCAAAACTGGGAAGATAAACTTTGCCCCAGGCTTGTCTGTGTGGGGAGCTAGTAAAAAGCAGCCATTGTAGCTACCATTTTTATTTTAGAGAGTGAAATCTCTTTGCACCCTCAGGCAA